GCACCGTTTTTTCGATTTGTTTCATGTTTTTCCGTGAAAATGTTCAATTTAATCGACAAACTGTAAAAAAAAGTTGTTCAAAGGGTCTACAAATAACCCTTATCGTTCGCAAAGCTAGTGACAGGTATTAACATTTAAATTCAATGCAAATCGGTATCTTCTTTTGCAATTTTCTTCTTCACTCAGTTTAACATTTCAAACAACTCCGAAAATCCAAACTTTAGGTTATGTTACGAAAACTCAAATAACTGCGAAGACGCAGAAAAGCGCATGAAAAAATAACATAAATTGGATTAAGAATTTAATACTCAACAATATCTATGCAGTTTAATGCTTCCGGCGGGAACCGAACACTTTGTAAGTCTATTCAAAGACAAATTTTTGTCACAAATATGGACTTGTTAAGAAACTAGCCATTAAACATATTATGAGGTCAATTTTTTTGAATTTACTTTTTACTTACTTTTTTGACTTTTGACAAATGAGTTTCGGCCAGGAAAAGTGGTCAAATGCCCCATAGTGCAGTGGGTTTTAGTTGTAGCTTTACTCGTAGTTGTTGCTGGAAACTGGCGACTGGCTCCAAAAATACAAAATACTTGCACAGAGCAAAACGGCTTTTGTGTGGAGAGAGCGAGAGAGAGAGCCAAGCGCTTTTGGTTTTGGCTAACCAACTGGCCAACACTCACACAAACAGACACTCAGAGAGTGGTATATATTGTCGATGGTGGGGGGGAGTACATATGAAACAGCGCGTATATTTGTCGTTGTGGATTATTTCATAGCACAATTCTCTCTCCGTTCATGAGTGTGTTTATGGGTGGGGGGGAAGGAGCGGAGGAAGAGAAAATGATTGCGGTTCTTGTCCTCCCACCACTGTTGCGGCTGCTGTCCAGGCACAGGTCCTCGTTTTACTTCTCTGCACAGCGCATTTCTCTCTTTGCCTGTTCCGGTATTTCGTTCCCGCTTTTGTTTCTCTTTCTGCTAGCTGCTGCTCTTTCCGCTGTTAATTTACATTGCAAAAATGTTCGCCTTCTTTTGGCTTTAGACGCAATTTGCAATTCAATAGTTTATGGATTTTCCAATAGTCACAGTGGAGAGAGTGGGTGGGTGCCACAGAGAGGACAGGGGGCAGGCCAAGTTGCATGTTGCATGTTGCATGTCTTGTGTGGTTTCTGTGGGTTGTTCTGATTGTGACACAGCTTGCTGCTACGTAGCGGAGTTTCAAATTCGTAATCTGTTGATAACAAATTCTCTTCTAAGCGAAAAACATCGTCTAGGATGTACCCCCCTTATGGCATACCCTTTAAAAACAGGCTTCTGTGCTTTTATCCGCCTCCCCCACAAAACCAATCACTCATCGACAATGACAACAGACACCAACTGGCCAACAGTTTGCCATCAACAGAAAGATATAAAATTTGTCCTCTCATCTCCTCTCCCTATCACTCTCTCTCTTTCTCTTTCCAAAATGCTGAGGTAGTGAGGGGGAAGTGAAACATTGTTTCCCCCTGCTCGTGCGTTGGTGCAATGTTTCGAATGATATTCGAATGATGCCCGCAAACTATGCCAAAATCGCTCCAAAATGCGATTGGTTTTCAGAGCTATTGGCCACATTGCCGCACTCTCCTGCATGCCCGCCGCTTTCCCTCCCTGGCATTCCCAGGGAGGCATTCCCTCTCCCTGGTATTCCCCCTCAATAGATTTCGATGCAAATTGATAATGAAATATGTGTGGATGGGGGAGAAAATGCAATGCAATGGAAATGCATCTGGGAATGCAGCGCCTGTCCTCACTTTGCGGGCGGCATTCTTATTGCTGCCATGCCAACACTTCCCTTTATGCCCCGCTCTTTCTCCCTTTCTCCGTTTCTCTCTTATTGGCCATTTAATGCAATGCGGCTAATAAACGAAATGCGGTTAACGCAATGACAGTGCGATTAGCCTGAAACCATAGTGGCAGGATCCATCGTCTGCCCTGAAATGGGGCCAGACAGCTCTGTCGCAGTTGTTGTAGAGTCCTGCGGTTGCTTAAATCATAATCCACACCCATTTGTGCTATGTGTGTGCGTGCCATGTGCCCCACAAGTCAACTGTAGAGGCAAGTGGAATGACAGTTGGGAGTAATGTTTGAAAAAGGATAGGAAGTAAACTGATTTACACCGATGCATATTGACAGCTAGAAGTGATATTAAACAACAATCCTCAGAATTGAAACTTCTTACCTAAAACTTAAATTTAAATATGTATAAGTCAAGGCAAATGTGTGCCCCACACTTTCACTCCAATCTCCAAGTAATCAATATCCCCTTCCCTCCGCACACCACACACTCTCTTCAATTATTGTGAATGATGTTTGTAAAACTTTTGATTTATTCAATTGTTTGTTCATTCAGCGATGCGATACGATGACAAAACATTCATCCAGCAATAAATCTCAACGGGGAGTGTACTCGTAAGTAAGAAATACTGACTGAGATTCTTCTCTTTCGCACTCGGACGACGACGACGACAATAAATAACAACAATAATTATGCAAGACAAATAAAGAGGAAGTTCCCCCTCTCTCTGCTGCTCCTGGCTATTCATTCTTTCAATGATCCATAATTGCTATTAATTTTCAGAGAGTGGGATAGAGATTTGCATAGACTTTAGAGGGATGAGAAGAGGGAGAGGTTTTTCTATATGCAAAACATAAATCCAAACAGTTTCTTCGACACTTGAATGAGAGTTTTCCCCCAAAAGTTTTCCCTGCCTTTGCTTTTGTTGTCCTCTAATTTATTTAGCATTGTGTAAACTTGTTTCAAGGCTGAATAGGTTTTCATTTCGAATTGAAATTACTCTCGTAAATGGCAAATAATAGCAATAACCATAACAATCCAGTCATACAGCCATAAAACATGAAGGGAAAAGCAGCAACGAAGGCAGGAATACCCTCTAAATAGGAGCAAGGACTGTGAGGAAGAAAACAAATAACTTGTACATTTATATGAGTTTAGTTATAAAGTTGTATGCATACCCTCTCGCAGGGCTATACCCTGGGCTTTCCTAAAAACAACCTCAAAAGAAAAACATTTGAATTACATCCAAGACAAAATTCTACTCGCAAAAATGGCAAAAGGCAGAAGGCGCGCCGTCCAGAAGTTGGCTGTTCGACGACGACGAGGACTGTTTCGACTGTTTTTAGCCAAACTCGAAATCAAATTGTTCCAAATTACTTGCTCAACAGCAAAGAGAGAGCGAAAGCGAGTGCGAAAGAGATAGAGAGGGAGACAGAGGGGGCTTCTGGGAGTGCTGCTGTGGATGCCTGTGTGGTTGCCTGTTGGTCCAAATGAATAATTTGGCATCGCAGATAAACGAAATCAATGTCCAGGACCCACTCTAACCCCGAATGCACGAAACCCCAAAACCGAAATGGCAACATCTGCACATTTAGGCGATAGAGAGGGGAAACAGAGAGAGGGAGGCAGGGAGGCTATTGGGAGGAGACGCTCTGCTTGGGGAACTTGTTATTGAATTAAAGTGACTTGATTTACGGCACGTTCTGGTCAAAAGCTCTTAATGGCATTTGCCACGAGAGTCCTCTGATGAGGTCTAACCCTTTGCAGGGGGTAGAGAGAGAGAGAGAGAGGGAGCGATGGCGGGTCATCTGTTCTCTGCAAATGGAGTTTTCGGGGCATAGTTTGGGAGTAACAGTCAATGTCAAAGTCAAGTTCGTATGCGAGATGTTAAGCATGCGGCACTCGATGAAAAGTGATTGCAAAACGAGTTTTAAGCGCATAAAATATTTATTAATTTCAATCATAATTGAAGTGTTGAGAAGCAGCCAAAGATAGAGTTGCCAAGTGCTGCCCCAGGGAGGATGACTTTTCATTAGCCAAACTTTTGATTATTACTAAATTTGTGTCTCAGTGACATCGATTACATATCGATTAAGTTAGTGGCTGAATAAATAGAACAACAAAACTTTACATCCAATTGGCAAGCACCAACAAATCTCGTCTGTGCAAATAATTAAGTGATTTGCCAAAAGTTTTCGATGTGATGATGCCAGCAAGCCCCCTGCCCCCAATGCAAAGCAGTGTTGTGGCAGCTGCTATGTGTTGTTATTGCATCAAGCACACAGAACATAGATACAGATATATGTATGTACATAGATTGGAAACTAGAACTAAGCCTGGCACTCCCTCCCGCTCTTCAATAACAACAGAGAGCGCTAATAATTTATGCATGTTGCATGCACCCACTGGCAACCCACTCGACGGAGCAAGGTTTATCTTGTAGCTGCTGCCACGCCCCCTAAAGCACAGACCCTGAGCGCCCCACGCTGACAGCTATGCCACATAATTTAATTAAAACTCTGCAGCAACCCCGTGAACTGCAAAACGTTGCAAATGCAAATTATTATTAATTACAGTGCAAAGCAACTGTTTGCCTCTCTCTCTTTCTCTGTTTTTCCTCTTACGTTCTGTTTGCTCTGCGGATAGACCACGAGACTCTGAGGCGACATCTGTTGATGAGGGTCTGCTGCAGTGTGGCGGCATAAACAACTTCAGTCTGGCATTGGTAAATGCTTTTAAGAGAGCCACTGAAAGAGGGATCTCGCAAACAAAGAGAGCAAGTTAAGAGCTTCGGCTGTGCTTTGTTGCCCATGGTAGAATTACCAATAGGTAACGTCGTCAGCTGAGTCATGGTAGAATTACTAATAGGTAACGTCGTCATCTGAGTGGAGGAGCACCAGCTTATTCACCACGCTCTTTCAGCTCTTAAAGAGGCAAGCGCTAGAGAGAGATAGCAAACGCTTATAAGTTATTTCACCATGAGCTGGTGGGCCTCGTATGAGAAGGCACTGTGGTGAATCCGTCACCTATTACTAATTTCACCATGAGCCGACCGACTACAGAGACTGCCGAATGCAACTTCTTGCTTGTCGTGTGCCGATCTCATGCCGTGCCCATTCCCATTGTTCCTTTTGTGCCCATGGAAATAACACTTTTACTCTTCGGTTTAATCGTTTGCTCTTCACTACCTTAACCACAATAGCAGTACATTTCAAAGCGGAAATCGCGAATGCAATAAGCCTGTGCCCCATAGGCATCCGAGCGGGTGATGCGTCCGTGCAGCGCTGTGACATTGGAGGCCAAGGCAGTGCCCGCAAAATGGCCGTTTCCGGGTTCCGTTACCACCAGGACCGTGATGGTCGACTGATCCGTAGAGCCCACTGCCGCGCCATGATCCCGCCTCACGTAGGCTCTGTCGATCTCCTCCAGCGACAGTTGGCGGCACTGGGGATAGGGACGCAGTAGGTGATTGATGTGCGAGACGATGAAGCCAGCGATCCGTTGCACGGTGGGCGTGTCCTTGGGTATCTGCTTGAGGGTGTGGCAGAGGCAGTAGTGGTCCGGAATGTGGGCCGAGCGGCAGTCTCGCTGCTCGGGAATGGGCAAGAAGAGCGAGACGCCGCGTGGGTTGCCCAAGCGGTGCGATCGATTCCGAATGCTGGCGTCGCGCAGGCGCCCCTTGAGGTCCATCACATCCTTGAGGGTCTCGTGAAGATCGAAGGTCGTGACGAGGCGGTGGGCGTTTCTATGCAGATTTCGCATTGCAAAGGGGAAGTGCCGCTGCAGCCAGGGGGGATAGAGGGCGATGCCCAGCGGCTGGGAGGCCTCCTGCATGCCCTGGAAAGTCTTGGCGAACGGATCGAAGCGCAGGCCGTGATCCGACAGGAGCAGGACGAGCGTGTTATCCAGGATACGGCTCTGGTGGAGCTGCTGCAGCAGCTGCAGGTAGTCCTGGTCCGCGATCCTCGCGTAGTTGAAGTAGTCGTGGACGCCCTGCGTCTGCCACATGAAGGCGAAGAAGTCTCGCTGCTGCATGTGCGGCATCAGGCGTTGCACAAAGTCGAAGAGCACCTCCTCGTAGCGGCGTCCCGCCGTGCACTTGACATCGAAGTCGCCGCGTGCCTCATAGGTCGTGTGCAGCCGCATCTCCTGCAGCACGGGCCGCAGATAAAAGTCCGTGGGCTGGTGCTCGAAGCCTCGTTTTCGGTAGGTGAAGGTGCCCCCCTTGGCGGTGTCCTCCCCGAAGGCCGTCATGTAGCCCGCGTCATGGAATTCGTTCCACAGGAAGCGGCACTCGTCGTAGCTCCGCCTGCGCCTCAGGCAGCGCCTCTCCAACTCCTGGGCGGTGAGTCCCGTGAGCAGAGGCACGATATTGGGGTACGAGTTGTCGCCAACGCGATTGTAGCCCCACAGTTCAGTGTGCGGCAGATGGCGGATGTACGCTGCCACGTGGGGAAAGGATCTGCGGTAGTGCAGATGCGACAGCGAGTCGATGCCCAGGACGAGGACCGAAAGGCGCACGGAGGGCACGCCTTCTCCTCTCTCTGGCACGAGGTGCGTGGCATGGGGGGGAGGCACAAACAGCAGAACATCGTGGAAGATGACACGCCCAAAGTCCACCCAGCAGTAGACCCTCAACATCTGGAGGCCATCGGGGACCCGCATGTACTCCGATCTAGGGTCCAGGGCAAAGGATTGAATGCCCAGGACGTGGGTGCGAAAGTCCGTGCAGTACTGCAGCTGCTGGTAGGCACAGAAGACATCCCGGAGTCGACGGACGGCGCAGCACCGCCACAGATCCAACTCCACGAGGTCTCTGATCAGATAGTTGTGCCCCTTGATGGTGGCGGCACGCAGCAGCTGCACCTTGGAACACTTGAAGGGCCCCAAACGTTGCACAAACGAGAGGGCCTTGGGCGAGACGGCATCCATGGCGCACATGCGGCAGCGCGAAGTGTTGACGAAGTAAACGCCCGCCTCCGAGGCAATGTCCGGTGCCTCGGGGCCGGGAAACTCTCTCCAGGTGCAAGTGTCACGGTTGTACAGGTACAGGATGAGTAGCAGCAGCAGGATGGTACTCCATTTCGTGTGAAAATATCGACAGAGGTCCATGCTGCCCCGAGAACACAGAAAGACATATCTGTCAGAGATTGTCCCTTGAATGTTGACAACATTTAAAAGGATGGACTGATGCTCCACTGTACTCCGCTTTCCCATTGAGTTTTTCCCTGCCAGAGCTGTGATTTTTCCCTCACTTGTGCGAGGTAGTAATTATTTCACCCAAATGAAGAGCGCACCTTGTAAGCCTTGTTATCAAACGAATGCCAAGCAAATTGCAGCAGAAAGAGTGGCACAAAAGAGAGTGGGCGAGCAGGAGAGGCGGAGGTAAGAGAAAAGTGCGAAATCCAATCAAGTTCTATCCTAATTAAAGCCTGAAGAAGGAGAAGCCCTCGAGGAGCAAACTCAATCACATCCCCAAGGCTCTCATTAGGTTTGCTCCTTTGCTTTTGTCTCTTTCTGTTTGTTTTTTTTGCTCTTTTCTTTCTACTCTTTTGGGAAGCAACTCAAACTGTAAAACTATGCTAATCGAGAGGGTAGGAATAGTAGGATGGAGACGCAGATCTCAGAGATGATTTTCCAGCAACCAATTAAATCAAATAAGTTTTCAATTTGGGCACAAAATAACAGCAAAAACACAACGTGTCCCAGCCAGATACAAAATGGGGAATTCTGTGTGTGTTTCTCATTCAATTTTCATTCTCATTTTTTCGCTCTCCCTCTCTCTCGGTTCACTCGCTTTCTGTCATTCGCCCTCCCCCGCCGGGCTTTCCACTGTCTCTCTGTAGGAATGCGATTTTCGCGCTGTTGTTTTCTTTAATTTTCCTCATTCGAAGGCAGCAGCAGCAAAGCGTCGACTTCCTGCCTTCCTGCCCCCACTGCTTCCTGCACTAGCTGTGTGTCTCTTTGGGTTGTGTCGTCTCGTTTGCAGCATCCTGTATCCTGTGTAAAACATATGCATTCATTTTATACGGCATTACGGCATTACAATATTGCATTTGCTGAAACATTTCTCTCTCTCGCTCTCCCTTTCTGCCCCCTGACTGCCTTCTTTTCTTGCGTTATGCGAACCCTGCGAGAATCCCCACCGTGGAATCCCTGGAAGGCTTTGCTGCTTCCTTCGTTAGCATTGAGTTACGGCTGGTGCTGGTGCTGGTGCTCCTCGCTGTCGTGAATACCCTGTAATTTAAGGTCTACATGTTCTGGTTAGTGATTGGCAGTCGTTGAACTTTTAACAATTTTACTCAAAGAATGATTATATTCGGAATTAAACATTTCGCTGGGAGAAACACATTCCACTCCCTTTGATCTTGTGTCAAGCCATTCCGCACTTTGGTTACAAGGTATCTCTCAGCTCTCTCGCTATGAAGCTTTTTCTTAAATTCTCTTCTCGTAAGTTGTTTCTTTTATTTTTCATTCAGTTTTCAGTTTCAGTTTTTGATTTTAACTTTGGGTTTTACCTGGGCTTTCCACTTGCCTTCACTCCCCAGGCAGGCAGGCAGGCAGGCAGGCATCCTCCCACCAGAAACCAGTATCTATTGCTCCTCCAGATCCCTTTACCTCTGCCCCTTCTGCTGCTGCTGCCTTCTGCCTGCTCCAATTACTGTTTGCATAGTGGAGTGTCGTCCTCGTCGTCTTTGTCGTCGTTGGCGGAAATTTGTTTATTTTACGCGCATTGCGTTTTGACGTGGCTTCGTTTCGGTTTTCGGGGTTTTCTATGGGGGTTTTCCGCGTTTCCGCATCTCAGGAACCTCTTTGCACAGGAGGAGCAGTAGGAGCAGCAGGAGCAGCAGGTGGAGTCAACACAGCAACACGAATCAGACATCTTTGAGCGAGTCGTCGTTACCGCTAAGACAAAATGACAGCTAAATGCAACACAGGACACTCCCGTGGCAGAATTCATTTGGCGTGAATTTCGTTCCCCTTTTTACTCTCTCTCTCTCTCTCTCTCTCTTGGTTTCTATTTTATATTTGAAATTTTTGCGAATTTTTATTTTGCATTTTCCTGTAGCCGTTGACATTTTCCCTTGGCCTTCGCTTTTGCCGTGCAATTTGTACATTGAAGAGGTTTATGGCTGCTGTGCCACCGTGTGGCACCGTTACTAGTTACAGTTGCATTTACAATCAGAATATTTGCCACTCCTACAAAAGTAGCGGGGAAGAGAGATGTCAGCAACAGCCATGAGAAGACTTCCCAAAAAAAGCCAATTGGAAACAGGTGGGGGGAGCGGAGGGCACTCTCTCTCTCTATCTTTGTTGCAACATAAGTTGCTCATTAAAGTGTGTTGCACAAACAAAGCGTAGAATCGCAGAACGAAAACCTAATGAAAATGCCGTCAAAGCTGTGTAAAAGTTTTTGTATCGCAGCCTTTTGGCTTTTGTCATTTTATGAAAAGAGAAGGACAGAGGGGTAAAGCGGGAAGAGGCAGAGATTGTAGGGAATCAGAAATCATTATCCTTGGGAGGAGTACTGTTTGGAGGTTCTCTACTGGGGCGTAGGCGGAATACTAATTTTCTATTTCTATTTATAGTTCCCTTGACAACTGATGATCTGATGGCTTAATCCAGTAATTGCATCAATTGGCCCTAGAAGCTCTGTCCTGGTCAGTCCTGGTCGGTTCTGGTCATTGAGGCCAAATGACAGACAGTAACTTGGCCCCAAAAACGAAGCGGAGCTCTCTCATGCTGAGGGGGGGGGGGGGAGGCTTCGGCTTCAATCACTTGACATGTTGTTCGGTAGTCAATTTTGTGGATTGCAGAGATTGTTGCCAGTGCTCTCTGGTCCTTGGACGACTCCTCTTTTGTGTGCTGCTCCTGCAGCATTGACATTATCCCCATTTCTACCCTCATTTACTCCTGCCCCTCTTTTGGGTACAGCACTCTGGCTTCTATGACATGTTGGAAGTGCACTCCATGCCGAGTCACTGGCTCTCTCTTGCCTTCTGTCCAGTCGGTCGTTTGGCCTGTGGCCAGGTATTCCGTGTGCCAGGGAACTGCCTGCCTGCCTGCCTGCCTGCCAGACCCTTCCTTGTGGATGTTTCTCATGTGGTCGCCTGTCCCTGTCCGCCCCTGTTCCTGCCATTGTCCTGTTTTGTGGCCCCAGCTATGCGTTGACAGGCGGCTGCTGCCTTGTGAATCCTTTGCCAGAAACTCATTTCTGTGGGGAGAAAACAGGAGCCAGAGCCAGAGTCAGGGACAGAGCTAACAAGCCGATCAGCCAGCAGTTCATGTGAGTGTACCGTAGGGGGGGGGGGGGGGGGAAGGTACAGGAATATTAAGTAGAGTCTAGGGATGGGATATCTACTTATAAACAGCCAAGGGAAATGGATCGTACAGCGAAATCGCTTGAAACTAAACTTGGAAAATGTTTATGAGAATGTTTTTTCAGCATCTGGAGAATTCCTTGCTGATTGTAGATCCTTAAGGATCTTCGGGCTGTTTCGTTGGTGGATTGCTGTTTGTCGTTGGTGGCTGCTGCCTGCTGCCTGCTGCCCGTGCCACACCCCTGAAAAGATGTGACAGGGGGTGTGGCCGTGGTACTTGGCTGCCAATAACTCAACTAATTGTCGCTGCAAGTGGTCTCCCACCCAACCGTCCACTTTGTGTCTCAGACCAGCAGCAGAAAAATGAGCTACGAATTGTTAATTTTGTGCTGCAGCTACGAGCTGAAAGAAGTGTGGCAACAGGGGGATGGGGCTGTGTGTGGGGCAGTGTGGCAGACAGGCAGGCCGACGCAGCCAAGTGGCAGCATTATTAAGGCCTTGTCAGCAACAGCAGAAGGAGAGACAGAGAGAGGAAACAACAGTAGTGGCAGTGGCCGTGGCAGCACGTGGCGCAAATTGTGGCATAAAACGGTAGCAAAGACACCTGGTGGCTGCTCTGCATATTAATAAGTTCGTTTGGACAGGGGGGGGGGGGGGGGGGG